AGGTCCACGTAGCCCAGCTGTAATGTCTCAGGAGTCCCTGTGCGCAACCATTGCGTTTGGGGTTTAGATGTTAGCGCTTGAGGTTTAAGGTTTGGGGTTTAGGGTTTAGGGGGTTAGGGTTTAGGGGGTTAGGGGATTAGGATTGAAGCAAGTCTGGGGGGCTTCGTTTAGGACTTCGAGCGGCTTAGGATTCAGAATTAATTTGGGGTGGAATTTAGGGTTTAGGGTTGGGATTCAAAGGCCAAAGGGACTGGAATGCACTGTAGGGCTTGGGGTTTAAGGTTTATAGCCCCCCTTAAGTAGATAAAGTGTGGCTTTGCATTATTATTTGATCCCCATATATCCCAAACCCATAATAAGATCCCCATATACCCCATATTCTCTATTTACTTACGGGGGGACTATAGGGGTTAAGGCTTCAGACCATGGATTGCCGGAGAGAATTTAGGAGGGTAAAGAGAGCCTGGGTTGGGTTCAGAGTTTAGGGTTCGGGGTTTAGGGTGTGGGGTTTAGGGTTTGGGGTTTAGGGTTTAGGGATTAGGGTTAAGGGTTCGGGGTTTAGGGATTAGGGTTTAGGGTTTGGGGCTTAATGTTCTCACTAGCTTAACCCTTCACGCAAATCTGGGTTTAGGGATCTAAAGCAAAACAACCGTCGCCGCTTCTCTGAAGGTATGTATGTTGTGTGGAGATGTGTGAGTCTTTTGTGGAGGCTATTCGTATACAGTGACATAGCAGGGTAATCATTTTTAGGATAAAGGGCAACAGGCTGAAACCCTGCGCTCGGGACCTTAAAACCCAAATCCCTTAACTTGTACTCCCAGTCAAGGAGGGCGACTCCTCAACCCCTAAACCCCAAACCCTAAATCCTTAAACCCTAAACCCCTGAATGCCCTGCGAAACCCATCTCCCCTGGCCTGGCATGGTTGGAAAAAGGGAGTCCTGCAGCTGAGCAGACGACATGGTTATTTGGTTCTTCGCTAGAGTAGCTCCTTCCACTTTACAACAACAACTACCATAATAGGGACGGTAATATGGAAATGTTGGGGTTATATTGGGATAATTGCTAGAGTAGCTCCTTCCACTTTACAACAACAACTACCATAATAGGGACGACGAGCTGTTGCAGCCCCTACTAAACATCCTCATCCCCTACTGAACGTCCTTGTAGGGGGAAGATGACCCAGGAAGAACCCCCGCTCGTGGCAGGGATGTTGACCGTAGAAGAGACATAGCATCGGTTTCGGGTTTGGGCACCCTCTTTGCATTCGTATCTCGGCTATGCACTCACTGGACGGATATGCAAAACCTGGATGGCCAGTCAGCGTGGGATCTTGGGTTTAGGGTTTAAGGTTGTGGGCCTGTGTAACATGCAAGGTCCCAAACATGGGAAAAAGGCTCTTGGACGATGCAGGTAATATGGAAATATTGGGGTTATATTGAGATATTGGAAAATAAAATGGAAACTACTATTTGGGGTTTAGGGTTTAGGTCATGGCATTTATGCGAGACCCCTGTGAGAACTATAGCGAAAGAATGTTGTTGGATCCTGCCCCCGACATAAAGCATCCTTACCAAGGATACAGTAGAACTAAGTCTGGTTTAGGGTTTAGGGTTGAGGGTTGAGGGTATCAGGTGACTGTCCTAAAGTGGGGGGATCATGTCCAACACCCTTGCATGTTCTTGAAACTCCGAGGTAATACAAGCAGCAGAACAAGCTTGGATCAGAAGTCGAATTGTTGTTCCTGTAATCCCAGAAAAGACAAGGAAATCGCGGCCCCTGAGGTCTTTAGCCTACCCCTACATCACCATCTTTGAGCCTAAAAGCCCCTAATCCCTGGTCCCTAATTAACAAAACAAAGATGGCGACTATGCCTGGTACTAGAGCAGGGCAGATCTTGAAGGCAACCGTTGACTCCCCTTTTGTTAGCAGGGGAGGTGGGAATAAAATCCCTATGCAGCCGCTACTAACAACTAGTAAGTTTAAGCGGGGTCCATCTGGCGCTGCCGTTGCTTGATGCTGGGAGCCTTCGCATTACATCGATCCCAAACCTGACATCTCAAAATACTACTTGGAGGTTCATGGGAAACAGTAAATACTTATAAGTGGGCTTATAGCCCTACTTATACCACCCCGTAAATTACCTTATAGGGGTCACCCCAATTATAAGTAGGGTTATAACCCCAGTTATAAATAGTTACCAAGTCCCAATGAACCTCCACGTATGAAGAGCCACTATTGGTGATTGTTCAGGCTTCTAGAGTAGCCCACTTGGGGCCATCTGCATCCCTGCTTTTTCATGGGAATGCCTAAGCTGTAGACCAAGTTCTAAACCTAGCTACATACCTCTATATATACATCTATATACATATATATGTAGATATGTACATATCGCACATAACTTCTGTATATGGACATATTGGGATTTCCTGAATCCTCTCATAACCTTGTATATGCCGAGGTTCCATCAGGGCACCATCAACCTTGAAAAACTTCCCAAAAAATTATGTCCCTCAAAGGAAACCTCTACCTAGAGGGTCAGGGGGACTTAGTAAGCAGGTTAATCATGGGGAGAAGATGGGTTACTACGTGTGTTACGGGGTCCTTAACATACTTACTAAGCACAAAAACCTACGCTCTAAACCTTAAACCCTAAACCCTAAATCGTAAACCCTAAACCCTAAATCCTAAACCCTAAATCCTAAATCCTAAACCCTAAACCCTAACTGTGTCCTCAAGGCAGATGACGAACTTGGAGCTAGAGGAGGCAGACTGGCTATCTTCGTCCTGGCTTTTCGGAGCTTTTGGGTTTTGGCTTAGGGTTTTAGGGTTT